CCCCCCCCCCCCCCCCGTTTTTTTCTAGATTCAATCCCATTTTTCTGTTTGAACTGGTTCCAGATTCCATATTTTTCCTGTTTGAACTTTTCTAGAAACAATTTCCCCGTTTGAATTTTTCAAGATTCCATATTATCCATGTTTGAACTTTTCTAGAATCCATTCCTGGTTTTAATTTTTCTGGATTTAATTTTAATGGTTAATTAAAATTTTCGTCATCAAAAAAAATGTCTAATTAATTGCAATATTTAAACATACAATTTAATAAACATTTTACAAAATAACATTTTTATTTGATTAAGTGTACAGCCCTATTTTTGATTTATTCATCCAAATGTTGCCAAATTCCGTGACATTCCACATTATACTGTAAATTCTACTTTTATGACTGGATCTGACTGGACTGAAATCATAAAGCTCTACAGGTAGGCAATGACCGTAGACATGGACAAATGTACAGTTTAGTACAAAGCACTTTTGTGGCACAAACAGAACCTCATAAAGGTGACTGGTAATGTGTGTGAGACTCACAGCGTGTGTGTAAGCTCCATACGATCCAAACTGGATGGTCATGGGACTGAAGATGCCGAGCTGTCCAGCCATCTGGTGCATCCGGCGCAGGGTCCGTTCCTTATCGGTGTCTGCAAACTTCACCACCAGACTAGAGGACGCGCCCTGAACACACACACACACACACACACACACACACACCTCAAGGTATATTCTCTGAAAACAAGTCTTAAGGAAAAGCATCATGTTCAATTCATGTCATTTCTGACAGGAACTCCATTCACAGACATTATTCTATGGAAGCTTGTTTCTACCTCGCAATTCAGTTTTTTTTTATTTCCACCACTGAATAAAAAAATCTAAAAGTAATTGCGACTTTCGCTCACAAATCGACTTTTTTTTCCACAAGTGAGAGTTCCTCACGATTCTGACTTTTTTCTGAATTCTGAGTTTATATCTCATAGTTCAGTTCAGTGTCCGCCACGGAATAAATATAAAAAAGGGAATTTGGTAAAAGGTAATGACTTTTTATCTCAAAATTCTGTCTTTTTTTCTCGGAATTGCAAGTTTTTATCTTGCATTTCTGCATTTTATATCTCAGAATTCAGAGTTTATATCTTGCAATTCTGACTTTTTTCTCTAAATTCTGATTTTATATCTTGATTACATCTTGACGCCACAGAATAGAAAAAAGGTAATTGTAACTTTTTATCTCACAATTTGGATTTTTTTTTCGCAATTGCAAGTTTATATCTCGCAGTTGCCTTTTTAGCTGAATTTTGCATTTATATCTTGCAATTCTGATTTTTTTTTTTTTTTTGCTGAAATTCTAAATTTGAATCTTGCAATTCTTTTTTTTTTTTTTTTGTTTCCGCAGAGTTTGTTTGTTTCGGTTTGTTTTATTCCATGGAATAAAAAAAAATGAATTGCAACTTTTTATCTCACAATTTGTACTTTTTTTTCTCACAATTGCGAATTTATATCTTGCAATCCTGAATTTATATCTGACATTTTTTTCTGAATTCTGAATTTATATCTCACAATTCAATAAAAAATGAATGACTTTTTATCTCACAATTCAAAATTCACAATTCTGTGTTTATATCCTCAGAATTGCAAGAAACAAGTCCGAATTGTGAGATGATAAGTTGCAATGACCTGTTTTATTATTTTTTATCCTGTGACAGAAAGCATCTTCCGCAGATCTTCTGCTGATCTCACTGTGACGTCGTCTCATTAAATCTCTCGGCCGCTGCAGCAGACATTGATTCATTTAATCGGACTCTACGGCTGTCATCAAGACACATGATGTGAGCGCTGGAGATCGTGAGGATCTCGTCCCTGCAGGACACATTAAAGTGAAGCCCGACGCCACGGACTCTCAGATTGACCGCTCTCGGCCGTATGGATCATATTGTGCTGTACGGACCTCAATTCATCACAGACCCATGTATGGGTCTTTAAGTGCATTCAAACACACACCAGGATCATCATTTGATTTTGTCGGTATTCATAATTCAAGTGTAAATGTACAAGAATTGCATAGTGCAAATCATAAAAAAAAAAAAATAACTATTTTATATAGCGACTTTAAAAGTAGCTTCTCAAGGTGTTTAACAAAAATAAAACACAAATAGCATGTATAAATACAAATCTTTATATAAAAATGCTGAACATCCATATAAAAAAAATATAATAATAATTAATTAATAAAATAAACAATAAGTCTAACAACAAAAAATAAATAAAAAATTCTAATAAAACTAACCTAAAAATAAAGATAAGAATTGTGATTATGTTGTGCCAACTTAACCATATTTTGGGGACAAATTTGTTCCCAGAAGTGAGTAAAATCTGATACAAATTTATTTTGGCAACATCTGGGAACATCTTCATTTGTACAAACAATATAAGTATGAAGAAAATTATAAAAATAAATAAATAAATTAAAATAAAGGAATGCAGAAAGTTTAGGTTAATTTTAAGTATTAATAACTAACCGTATTTAAAAACTATAGACATTCATGAAACATCATCTTTTATATAAACAAAGTATAACTGTGTGTAAGTGTGAAAATAAAATAAATAAAATAGCCTTTAAAAATCACACACAAAATAAATTGTGAAATCAGGTCAACATGTTATAAGTGTTACATTTAAATCCATATTTAATCTCAGTTATTATGAATGCAATAAAAAATCAGTTTATGAATTCAGTATTTTATGAAGCTCAAAAAAAGCATCTGTAAATGTTTGTATATCTCTAAAGTTGTACATATGTTAAAGGGTTTATGTTTTAAAGCAGTCAGTATGTTGATTTTAGACATATTAGAGGGATGTCAAAGGTAACGCAGCTTTGATTTCCAGTTGATGCATATACAAAATATTTTTTTATTATTATTTAGGAAAAAAAGGAAAGAAAACACTAGAAATTTTTTTATGCATTTGCCATTTTTAAAATATAATGTGTTATTTTTAACTAAAGGTGTGTGTTCAGTAGCATGTTAGTGTTTGCTGTGGTGTCTAAACTAGAATGATCGAATGCCATGGATATTGTTATAAGTTTTGATATTGTGTCAAAAATGTAAAATCATTTGCTAGAAACACACTTTATGTACAGATGCTAATAAAATTACACACACATGCACGCACGCACGCACGCACACACACACACACACTCACACACTCACACTCACACACTCACACACTCACACACTCACACTCACACTCTCACACACACTCTCACACACACACACACACACACACACACTATTCCCGGACGGTCCTGTTTAATTACTGCACTGGAACGCTGGAAACACACAAACACAAGGGCAGCTGGAGACGTGATTACAGACAGACCATTAAACAAACATAAAGAGAACGAGATGATGGCGTCTACATCACAATCATCTCATTATGATGATGTCTGGACGTTTGCCATCTTGAAGCCCTGCGGCAGCCGGCGGGGTTTAATAGATATCAGACGCTCTGAAGACTCGCTGAGGTCAGAAAGTAAAAGATATTACGCTGAGGAGGAAGAGGACAGACACTAAACTCAAGCTCAAGCAGATCTCGTCTCATCTGCACCGCTGCTCCCATGATGCCATTCTGCCACAACAGCACTTTCACGTCCCAGCAGTGATATATTACTATAATAGATACTATTATAGTTTCTACTAATATTTTAAATTCATTTTTATTTTTATATTAGTTTTTTACTAATATTTTAAATTCATTTTTATTTTTATATTTTCAATTTTCATTTGTTAAAGCTTTAGTTTTTTATTAGTTTGTTGTTTTATATATATATATATACTGTATATATATGTGTGTGTGTGTCTATCTAGTTTTTTTCATTTTTATTTCGGTTTTTAGTGTTAAGTTATTTTAGTAAATCAAGCTAAACTAATTAAAAATAAAAACGTTGCCGTGCCAGCTAGCTGAAATAAAATAAGATTGTGTTTTTTATATTTTATTTTCTATTTATTTTATGTCAGTTAAGATTTATTTAAAAAAAAAAAAAAAAAGTTTTAAAATAAAGTTTTAGACAATTTGTTGTGTGTTTTTTATTTATATTTTCAGCTTTTTTAAAATTTAAAATAAAGTTTTAGACAATTTGCTGTGTGTTTTTGTCAGTTTCATTAGCTTTAGTTTTTATATAAATATGTCTAATTTTAAATTAATTTTTATTTCAGTTTTAGTGTTAATTATTTTAGGAACTCAAGTTTAACTACATGAAAATGAAAATGAAAAATAAGTTTTTATTTATTTATTTTATATTGATTTTATTTCAGTTTACATTTACTTTATTTCAAGTAACAAATATTTTTATTTTATATTTTCAGCTTTCATTTGACTTTTAGTTAAACTTTTGGTAATTTTGTTGTGTTTTTGTCAGTCTTAGTTTTTTTTTTGTATTTGTAAATAAGCATGTAGTTTTTATTCATTTTTATTTCAGTTTTAGTTATTTTAGTAAATCAAGTAAAACTAAATGAAAACTTAATTTTATTACAAATAACGAAAATTTATTTTTATGTATTTATTTAATTAAATATAATAATTCTGTGTCCCAGTGATCGAGTTTTAATTAAAATAACAGATTGTAACTTTACATGAAGGTCACATTAAAACGACACATTTTAGACACTTTGTATCTTCATGCCTTTTATCATTTATATTTGCTACTTTTTAAATGTCTTCTAAGTTTCAATGTTACTGTAATGTTTACTTGTTACTTTCAATCTTTAGCTGAGACTTCAGACTTCACAGAATATGAAAGTTTAAAACTATGATGACATAAACTTCAGAAATCAGAAAACTCATAAAAAATGTCGTCACATGTTCTCCACCGGTTTTTTCCAGACGACAGCAGGTGTTTCTGAAACGGTCGTGTTCTTCCGGCTGAGAGCCACATTCCCGCAAACAAACACAACAATCATCCGCTGCTGGATCTCGTACGAAATGAATTTGCTGAATTTGATAAGCGGCAGCGGGAGCCGTCATCTCTGACAGTCCCGGCCGCCGAGCTTCTCAAAACTAATCTCATTTGAGGAGAGAAAACCTTTGACTTCAGAAGAGCATCTGGATTCAATTTCACACCGGCCGCCGAGATTTACATAGCAGAGAAATAAAAAACTATAACCTGAAATATAATTGCTGAATTGGACAGAATGGAAGTGACAAAAGTGACACATTCAGTTTTTACCAGATTAAAAAAAATCACTGACCTTTACAAGTTATTCAAGTTCTTTCACAAAAACACCTGCCTGTGTGTGTTTAAGGTGAGAGGAACATTTCACTCCAATCAAAAGAAATTATATTTTGCATAAATAAAAGTACCATTATGATTTTTTTTTGCATTATTATTGCCTTATTTTCATATCAAATCAGCACATTTTACCCATAAATTCTCATCACTGTAATGTGTCCAGATCTTGTACTTTTCAGTTGTTGTAATTCTCATTATTCTCAGTGCTGAGTCAATAATAGTACACAATACTTTTGACTGTACTAAAGTAAAATATAAAATGCATATTAAGATTTATATACATTTATATAGAAAATACTGTAATAAAATGTTTTACTTAAATTGGCATAAAAACATACATACTTTACAATTAAAATACATATATTTCTTATTGTTTGTTTTTTCCACAATACAGTAATACAAATTTGAAGGTAAAATGTGTTTCATTGCCATGAAAATAATGTCACTATTTTCCAAAAATTCATTTACTTCATGCAAAACAGGGTTATTAGCATTAATTAAACCATGAAATAAACTTATTTGAAATAAACATATATATATATATAAGTTTATTTCATGGTATACTCACTGCTCTTGAACTTTAAAAAAGATATAAAGACTATAGTGTTATTTGATTGGCATAATTTATTACATTTCTGTAGGCTACCTGTAAATCATTGTTAGACCTGCCTGACATGCACCGTTTCCATTTGTATCTTTATTGTATAGTAGGCTATTTTGTGCTATTGCTTGTAATTTGATTTGCTCTTATTTTACAACTGACTATTTACTAGTTTTTAAAAATGTAGCCTATTAAATTTATATTGGTTAAGCTAGTAGTTGTAGCATGTATCGAAATTGGAATAAAGGATTGTGATTTTTTTGCTGTTATCTAAAATTTTGCTGTCATAACTGCCTGTTTTTTTTTTTGTTTTTTTTTCGTGGCTGGTAAAAAATATTCTGGCCGGTAAATTTCCTTAAGTCACCGGCCATTGGCAGGTCTGGCAAAAAGTTAGTTTTAGGCCCTGCTGCTTCTCTCTCTGTGTGTGTGTGTGTGTGTGAGACGCTCACCGGCATCGTCTGTCCACCGTGGAGACTGTTAATCGCAGCCTGGGCTTCTGCATGACTGGAATACTTTACAAAAGCACAGCCTGTGGAGAGAAAGAAAGAATGAGAGAGAGGTTAGTTAACTAGTCCAGTGAAGACTGAAAGATTTCATTAGTATCACAGTTTCCACAAAAATATATTACAGTAAGTATTGCTTCATAACCAGACCAGAAAAATAACCAAAGCAGTTCTGCTGATTCCACAGGAAGTGCTGTGTTTCCCTGCTGTGATTTGTGCTGTTTTTGATTTTGTTGGTTTGTTTGAAGGGACTGAATCTGAGTGAATTAGATGGATTCAAACAGATTTACCCATCATGACATCCCTACAGACAGAGAGTTAAAGCATTTACTACGGTAACAAACACAGAGACTGACCCAAATCCTTCACATAAACGTTAATTATAATGACTGTAATAACTAACATAAACTCTTTTTGGAAATGCAATTTTTAAATATATTTTAAGAAATGTGTGTGTGTGTGTGTGTGTATGTGTGTGTCTGAACGCTTTAACTTTTCCAGAACTTTGCCGGGAGCCGCAGAGAATGATGAGATGAGAAGAAGATGAGAAAGCCTTTAGACATGACAGCGCACGTTTGAGGGTTTCAAATCTGATGGTTAGGGAAAACGCTTCGAAAATCCCATCTAACAAACCCACAATCATCAAACCCTGCTGACCCCAAACGCCCAGCAGCCGGCCCGCAATTCATGCGCTTGGACGCCAGAAAATGACTTTTAATCTCCGCAAACAAGATGCATTAATGCCGGAGAGAGTGCCACACTTTCATGAGACAGAACGACACTTCAGAAGATGAGAAAGCCTTTAGACATGACAGCGCACGTTTGAGGGTTTCAAATATGATGGTTAGGGAAAACGCTTCGAAAATCCCTTTTTGATTCGGGGAGAAACATTTGGACGTGAATCCATCTGAGCAGCAGTGATGCTATCTTAACCAGCGCAGCTAAAGCTTCATTATTCAGGACAGAAATCCAGCCGACTACGAGTGAAAAGAGAAAGAGAAACAGTCGCAGCTGCAGTTTCCAACATCATTTACAGTCTCAAGACCACCAGACACATGCCACACACTGCCTATAGAAAAGAAAATCATAAATTAGATATTTTCAAAATCTTAAATGTTTCACACAGACAGCAATACGATTAAATGAAGAGCAAGTGAAGTCCTTGTTTCTCAGATGTTTCTCCCGAGAAAAAGAAACCCAGTAATCTCACGTGTCTCCATGCTAAAGCAAAAATAATGTCTGTATCCAAACACGTTTCAAACACTTCCGCCAATCAATCAAACAGATAGTCCCGCCTCAAACTGAACGTGATTGGTTGATTCAGAAGCGGACGTCATGCCAATCAAACTAACAGATTAATGTTCTGAAAGCGTCACAGTTTTTGTTAGTGTCTCTGAACATGAAACTGAGCACACAATCCATCTGAACATCTAAACATTACAAATGTCATCTTTAAAGGGACTCTGAACATTAAACTGAATGAAAAAATGCATTTACTCTGAAGCAATTTTCACTCAGAAATCACTAGTGCATTTCACAAATAATTAGCAAGTAACACATTGAAATTCTGAAGCAAAAAACTGAACGTGATTGGCTGATTCAGAAGCGGATGTCATGCCAATCAAACTAACAGATTAATGTTCTGAAAGCGTCACAGTTCTTGTTAGTGTCTCTGAACATGAAACTGAGCCCACAATCCATCTGAACATCTAAACATTACAAATGTCATCTTTAAAGGGACTCTGAACATTAAACATAAATGAAAAAATGCATTTACTCTGAAGCAATTTTCACTCAGAAATCACTAGTGAATTTCACAAATAATTAGCAAGTAACACATTGAAATTCTGAAGCAATGTAAAAAAAAAAAAATTATAATATTATATATATAATATTTGTAATATTTGCAACTTTAATAAATAATTTTTACAGTGCAGAATCAAACTAACAGATTAATGTTCTGAAAGCGTCACAGTTTTTGTTAGTGTCTCTGAACATGAAACTGAGCACACAATCCATCTGAACATCTAAACATTATGTATGTCATCTTTAAAGGGACTCTGAACATTAAACTGAATGAAAAAATGCATTTACTCTGAAGCAATTTTCACTCAGAAATCACTAGTGCATTTCACAAATAATTAGCAAGTAACACATTGAAATTCTGAAGCAAAAAAAAAATAAAAATTTTTCAAAGTTGTAAATAAAACAACAATTACTGGAGTACATTTTACAAGTAAATACTACATCAGTTTTTCTACTTCAAAGTGTTATTTACAGTTTCTTTAAAATCATTCCTACAATATTTCAGTGCAGGAAAAACTGAAATAATATTTTCTTGTGAAATGTACACCGATAATATTTGTAATATTTGCAACTTTAATAAATCATTTTTTACAGTGCAGTAAGTGTTTGAACATCTAAAACAATGACACGCATCGACTTTAAGGGCTTCAGGTTGAATTAATAGCAGAAAATAGTGGAGAAGAATTAAAAAAGTAACTTCAGTTCTCTCAAACACCGCAAAAGCTGCAACTACATACACACACCACTGATGCACCTTGATGAAACACACGTCTTTATCCAACAGGCATAAAGGCTTTTTACGAGTCAATAACTATAAATACAACCACAGCAGTGAAAGTGTTTGTGCCGTTTACTGCTTCATTCAGAACAGATACTAGTTATTTAGTGATCAGCAGCATAAAGAGAGATGATGATGAAGAAGCGGAGAAAGGGAGAGAAGAAGAGGGTGAGAAAGTGAAGGTGTGAGTAGAGTGAGAAAGACATACACTATGTCTGAAATAACATACTACTGTACTACTTTAACTACTGCTGCAGTATGTAGTGTGCACACTGAGTACAGTGTGTTAATGATCTCTACTGAAAACTCGATGATTTACTACATTTGACAAAATGTGCATTTCTGCACCATCTATTTCCAGCGTGATAAATCATCTCTTTTTTGACTAATTCTTTTAATTGTACAGTTGAGACATTTTTTTTTTTTGCACACAATTATAAATTCCTGTGTATTCCAAGGTCATGGGTTCGATTCCCAGGGAATGCATGAAGTGATGAAATGCATAGCTTGATTAAAAAACTTTGGATGAAAGCATCTGATAAATGCAACATAAATTCAGGTAAGTAAAAGTTATTTAGAGTTGAAAAGGTGTTTAATTTTGTGTCCCAGTTCATTCTTCACATTGGAAATTGTAGGGTCACGTCAACAGCTCTGCGTTACTGCACGCTGCACATTCGAATAAACGCCCTGAATACAGAACATTAACATACTATGCACAGTTTATATACTGCATACTTCAAAAATAGTACAAGTAGCATGATCATATGATTTTCCAAACACACCTAAATATGAGAAATCAATAAGAGAGCTTTTGAGGTTTGTTTGTAGACATTCAGAGTCACAAGACAGACAGATATTAAGTGTGTTTACATGCACAAGATTATACAAGACTACTACTTAAACTGTATTTCTAATTAATACACACCTAGAGTTTTAATTGTTGTCCCAACTTTGCTTTTCATGTAAATGTAATCAGCTTATTCAATATGCATGTCTTGTAATAAATATTAATAATCCATAATTTTATATTATTAATATTTATTTGTAAATATATAAAAAATTATATAAATATTTAGTTTTAATAAGATTTTCACTGGCAATACACCAAAGAATGATAATAAGTTCTCTTTATAAAAAAGCATTGATGTAATCCCATATACTTTTGCTGGAAAACAACAGCACATGAACAAAACATTACTAGTTTAATTATAATGATCAATTAACTCTAAACAATGATTCCAAGTCATTCTCAAAATCCATATTAGCCAGCTAGATAATGTCGAAGTCACAGTCAGAAGACTGATACATGCATCAAACCAAACCGGCTGATTCATATGTAAACCTTAAAGCAGGTTTTCATAGCGAGTCGATTTGAACAGTCATGTGTTTGAGTAACAGAGGCTGAATGAGGGTCAATGGCGGTGTGTCAGAGAGTTGTGTCGGTGCTGACCCTTACTGGCCCCATCAGGCCCCCGCAGCACGGTGCACTCCTCTATCTGACCGAACGACTCGAACAGCCGTCGCACATCTTCTTCACTCTGCTGCTTCCCCAGCATGCCCACAAACAGCTTCCGGTCTTCTGAGAGAGAGAGAGAGAGAGAGAGAGAGAAAGAGAGAGAGAGAGAGAAAATACTCAGTATTTTTGTCTTATTTTGTTTTTTTTTATATAAAAGACTCTAAAAATGGTACAATAAAAACCTTTTAATTGGTTAACTGTAAGTTCCCTTTACTGTATACAGGGATAAATCCTAGGTGTGTATGACTTTTTTCTTTCAGACGAATCCAATCGGAGTTATATTAAAAAATGTCCTGATTCTTCCAAGCTTTATAATGGCAGTGAATGGGTGTTGAGATTTTGAAGCCCAAAAAAGTGCGTCCATCCAGCATAAAAAGTGTCTCACACAGCTCTGGGGGGGGGGGATGAATAAATGACTTCTGAAGCGAAGTGATGCATATGTGTAAGAAAAATTTCCAAATTTTAAACTTCATAAATTGTAATCTCTAGCTTCCGCTAATTGTCGTATGCGCGTTCATGAGTGAGTGGCGTTCCAGCGGATGATGTAAGCGTAGGGATAAGCTCTGGTGAGAAGTGACGAATGCGAAAGCGCAGCGGAGAGAGCAAAACAAAACACGGGTCACGAATTAGAAGTACAAAACGAGGATTTGTAAAGAAAAATGTGGGAGGATTTCGATATAAGCCAAGAGGAGACTGGTTTTCCTATTCTGTAAACAAAACTTGGTTCTCACGAGACTAGCATATTCTCACCAGAGCTTACGCTACGCCATCCGCTGGACATCACTCTCTCGTGTACGACAGTTAGCGGAAGATAGAGATCACAGTTTATAAAGTTTTAAATATGGATATTTTTCACAAACACATCGATTCGCTTCAGGAGGCCTTTATTAACCCCCGGAGCCTTGTGGAGCACTTTTTATGATGGATGGACACACTTTATTGGACTTCTGTTGGACTATTGAAAAATAACACCCATTCACTGCCATTATAAAGCTTGGAAGAGCCAGGACATTTTTAAATTAACTCCAATTGGATTTGTCTGAAAGAAGAAAGTCATATACACCTAGGATGACGCGCATTCTGATGATAAGTGATGAATGATTAAGCGCAGTTGAGAGAGCAAAACAAAACACCGGTCACGAATTAGTAGTGCAAAACGAGGATTTGTAAAGAAAAATGTCGGAGGATTTCGATATAAGCCAAGAGGAGACTGGTTTTCCTATTCTGTAAACAAAACTTGGTTCTCACGAGACTAGCATATTCTCACCAGAGCTTACGCTACGCCTACGTCATCCGCTGGAATGAACACGCGTACAACACTTAGCAGAAGCTAGAGATTACGGTTTATAAAGTTTTAAATATGGATATTTTTCACAAACACATCGATTCGCTTCAGGAGGCCTTTATTAACCCCCGGAGCCTTGTGGAGCACTTTTTATGATGGATGGACACACTTTATTGGACTTCTGTTGGACTATTGAAAAATAACACCCAATCACTGCCATTATAAAGCTTGGAAGAGCCAGGACATTTTTAAATTAACTCCAATTGGATTTGTCTGAAAGAAGAAAGTCATATACACCTAGGATGGCTTGAGGGTGAGTAAATCATGTAATTTAAATGTTTGGGTGAACTATCCCTTTAAACCTTGTCTGTGAAACCGGGGGTACATTTCATATACGTTTACAGGGAAATGCTGATAAATGGCAGATATCTTTTTTTATGCATTTTATAAATTTTTATTAAAAAAAAAACCAGACCTAATATTTAAAGTAATTTTACTCCTCAAGTAAATGCATCTTGATTTAAAAATGTGTAGGCATTTGTTCTGGAAAAGACCAACAAAATACAAAAATGGGACTGCATTATATTCTGCAACATCTTGACAGACCTGGGACTTAAGTTCGGCCTTCAATACCATCATGCCTGACCTTCTCTCAGACAAACTGACCCAGCTCTCTGTACCCACCCCAATCTGTCAGTGGATCACCAGCCTCCTGACAGACAGGCAGCAGCTAGTGAGGCTGGGGAAACTCACATCCAGGACTCTCACGATCAGCACCGGCGCCCCTCAGGGATGTGTGCTCTCCCCACTGCTCTTCTCCCTGTATACGAATGAATGCACTGCAAAAACCCCTCTGTCAAGCGCCTGAAATTTGCAGATGACACTATCATCATCGGCTTCATACACAACGGAGACAAGCGCTACAAAGCACCGACCACCAGAACAGCCAGGCACAAGAACATTTTTTCCCCCCGCAGACTATATTCAGCCTGAACAATTAAAACTTTCATAACTATACATTGTCCATTATAACTGACACATTTGTACACAGCATCTGAAAATTTAACATTTGTAAACTACATAAACTGTACACTTGTAAATAACATATCTGTACATTCATTAAAACAATTATGTTTTTTTCTACTTCTGTATTATATCGCATTATTTAATTTTCTGTTTTTCTTGAATTAGTGTTATATTTCATCTCTACTGTGTAATGTATGTCTGCACTATCATGTGCGTTTGCACGATGTCTGCTGTACTTTCTTCTGCACCGGAAACTCCTGTCGCCAAGACAAATTCCTTGTGTGTGTAAACTTACTTGGCAATAAAGCTCTTTCTGACTTCTGACTTCAATATTTCATGCCCTGTTAACTGTATTTTATGCTTTTGCCAGATCTTTTTAACACTGAACCAAGTAAAAAAATAGCTGAAGATGACAAAAAGTTCAGAGGAAGAAAAAGTTCAGAAGTATGAAGCACAATGTGAGCATGAGAAATCATGGTTGGATTCTCGGTTTTAGGCCTGAGATGCTCTATACAAGTACATTATTGACTGTTTTTCCTGTGATGTGCGCTTCATTCGCTCATCTCAACACACACCGGTATCCCCTCATTCATCAGTTCTCCCTCAGCGCTTCATCTCTTCTGCCTGACAGCTTGTATTCCCTCCACATCCAGTCTTACATAAGCTGTTTTAATAGAGCTATGCACTGGTGTGACCCCAGACTCATCATCTGTCGTCTGTACTGTACCGGAGCTTTACATTATGCATACAAGCCCTCAGAGAGCTGCGGGACACGACACTCATCCTGAGTGGAAGAGATCAGAGACCATGGCAAACTCACTCCATATAAGACAACTGAGATACAGCTGAGACACAACTGAGATAAGGCTGAGATATAACTGAGATACAGCTGAGATATCACTGAGATGTAGTGGAGATACAACTGAGATATAGGTGATATATAGCTGCGATACAGCTGAGATATAACTGAGTTATAGCTGAGATACAGCTATGGCGGATATACAGCTGAGATACAGCTGATATATACAGTAGATGAGTTATGGCTGAGATATAGCTAAGATACGGCTGAGATATAACTGAGATATAGCTGAGATATGGCTGAGATTTAATTGAGATAAGGCTGAGATATAACTGACATATAGCTGAGATATGGCTGAGACAGCTGATATACAAATATGGCTGAGATATAGCTGAGATACAGCTGAGACACAGATGAGATACAACTGAGATAGAACTGAGATATGGCTGATATATGGCTGGGATATAGCTAAGATACGACTGAGATATAAATTAGATATAGCTGAGATACAGCTGAGATATAATTGAGATACGGCTGAGATATAACTGAGATATAGCTGAGACACAGCTGATATACAAATATGGCTGAGATATAGCTGAGATACAGCTGAGATGCAACTGAGACAGAACTGAGATATGGCTGAGATACAACTGAGATATAGCTGATATATGGCTGAGATATAGATGAGTTATGGCCGAGATATAGCTAAGATACGGCTGAGATATAAATGAGATATGGCTGAGATATGGCTGAGATATAATTGAGACACGACTGAGATATGGCTGAGACACAGCTGATATACAAATATGGCTAAGATATAGCTGAGACACAGCTGAGATAGAACTGAGATATGGCTGAGATATAACTGAGATAGAACTGAGATACAGCTGAGATATAGCTGAAATTCACACATTCACATAGAAAAGTTATTTTAAATTGTAATAATATGAAAAAAAAAAATGCAGCCTTGGTGAGCAGAAGAGACTTCCTTAAAGAACATGAAAAAAACATAATTAATAACTACAGATAGATAGATAGATAGATAGTTAGATAGACAGACAGATAGACGGGCAGACGGGTGGATGCCGAAAAAGTGCGGGGGACGAATTTACGTGATATTAAAAGTGGGGGGGACACGTCCCCCGCGTAATCTACGCCCCTGGATAGATAGATAGATAGATAGATAGATAGATAGATAGATAGATATGCTTAAAGAATAAAGAGAGATAAAGCAACCAGGTGGATGTGTGTTCAGTGGGCAACTAATTCAGCAGTGTGTGTGTGTGTGTGTGTGTGTGTGTGTCAGCGATCAGTCTTACCAGTGTAAAATTCACTAGTGTTACTGTCATCATTAAACAGGTCATATAACAATTACAGGATTCTTCCTGATCTCTGATGAGTCTGATGCAGTATGTAGAAATACTTTTTTAAAACCCATACATCACAACACGACGACAACATCAGATCTGACAACAAAACCACAACACATGTGTATATGAGCGCTGTTACCTATTTAATTTGCAAAGATCTTAGCCAATTTATATAGAGAAGTCTTAAAGGTACAGTACACAGTCTGTGTGATTGTAAGGATCAAAATTACTGTGAAAAACTAAATTATGACTGTAATGATGCACTAACATTAAAAGTGGACCTCAAGGGAAAAATACAGCATCAGCGTCAGCTGTGTTACATCATGAATGCATGAATATTATAATCTGTTCACTGTAAAGCCTGTCTGCCTCTCTGTACTCTCGATCGGGGACCGGGGCTCCGCACACATCAGGGGCCACTCGCGCGCCCCATGTCAGCTTAACAAGCTTAATTAACTAGCCATAAGCGCAATAATGACCGTTTCCGACATGTTAGTCTACGCTGAGATAAATGAAATTAGCCACAGAGGATGCTGGAAGTTCCTGGAGCGTTCCTCAGGGACAGATGGGAGAGAAATTGAATTTACAGTCCGTTATCTTTTCATTCCCAGACCTATGAGTTATATATTCACCATCTCGGCGTCCGTGGCGCTCACGCTCAGGAGATGGATCACAATTAATTAGCGTTCACGCCTGACCTGAGCCGCACTTTAGAGATGCTCGACTGCAAAGTGCAGCTCTATGGCATAATAACCAATGCTGATCTCAGACGCTCTGATGTCACTCATCAGAGACACACACACACACACACACACACACCTGCACTTCAGAGGGACTCACTTCTGTTTAAATTAAAACATATACTGTATATGTGCAGCATCTGTTCTGTACCCCAGAAAATACTATGACTTACAAAAACAAACAAAAATAATGCACTTATATTGTCTATGGAGCAAAAATAGGCAGCTTGAATTTTTTTAAAGCACTTATTGTGCAAATGTTTCCATGTTTACTGGCTTAACATTGTCATCTAAGGAGTTTCGCTATTGGATATATATATATATATATATATATAAGGCTGTTTGAATATTGCAAAAATCATAATCACATTTTTTTTTTATTTCCTTAAACTTAAAATACAATTCAACAGAAAAAAGCATTAAATAATAATAATAATAAGATAACTTTTGAACGACACTTAGCATTACATTTACCTGAGGAAACTTATCAAATGTTCACAGTTAGCTATTTAAAAAAATAAAATAAAATAGAGAGGAGCTTATTAACTGTTACTTATTTATGCATTTTTTAATAAAACTGATGAAAACATGTTTTTATGAAAACTACCTTATAAGCAACTGAAATGTTTGTATGCAGCTCTTCTATTTGAGTGTGATTATTATATCTGAAAATAAATAACATTGAACCAATGAGACGGCTTCCTATAGTTTACAGCATTATTATTATTGTTATGAGAGATAATTTTTCCTTAAGAAAAACTGACGTGTAGCCTACCTGAAATATTTACAAATGAACCAATATTGAATCCAATTGTTTAATTTTTTATTTTAATTTAATTTAATTGTATTTAATTTAATTGTATTTAATTTAATTGTATTTAATTGTATTTTATTTTATCAAAACAAGTAGTTTATGCTATATTCCAAGTCTTCTTAAGTCATGCAGTAGGTTTCCGGAAGCAACAAACATGATTAAATTTAATTTAAAATTAAATTAAATTAAATAAAATTAAATAAAATTATTTAATTTAATTTAATTTAATTTAATTTGTGTTTTGTTTTGTTTTGTTTTGTTTTACACAAATCTATTAGTATTGGCATTGATAAATTCTGAATAATCGGATATCATTATCGGCAGAAAAATTTTGTATCGGTGCATTCATAATATAATTCTATTGTACCCACAATCACAACTGAAAATGACTAAACATTTAGGGAGGGATAAAAGGAAAAGTGATTGATTTCTAACGCAAAAAAAGAAATCAAACAGGATCATATAAGACAAAACGAGTGCATCACTGCGAAAAAAACGCGGCACAATAATCGCTTATTTCAATGATGTTGTTTTCTTAATCACTGGAAGATAAAATTGTAATTGAGTCCTAACAATAGACTCATATTAACATTTAAGACTTGTGGCTCTATTTTGAAAATATTTTAATGTTTATTCTAGTGTAATAGAAGTGCCACAACAGTTCACAGTATGAACAACTATCACAAAATCCTCTCAAAATAAGTCACATGATAATATAAGTCACTGTGATCGGCTGATCATGGTGTTGAGTAGATAATGAATGCAAATGATGTGTGCAAATTGATCTGAATGCATCAAACTGGTTAAAGTAAACTATTTATTACAAAGCAAACAACTCATCCACTCTGACTTCATCAGTTCTGGTCACCAAATGTGAAAAACTGCCCCAAACGTGGACTGAAATCTGGAAGTTTGTCTGGTTCTGTCGTCTAGACTGAGTCAAATATTCTCTTCAATCACTCGTGTCTCATCGCTGTCCGTCTCTCTGTGTGTCGTGTCTTTCTGCAGAGCAAATGGTCTGGAAAATAAGAACCTGTCAGTGACCGTGTCCAATAGATGGCCTCGTAACGTGAACACACAAAAAAGAAATCTAAAGAGTCATCTGACAGCTGGGCGTCCGAGAGTCTTTTCACTGCAGCCAAATGAATGGATGCACAAACGGCATCAGCAGACCAGATTAATGAAGAACGTGCGCTGATGTCTGATGTGCTGAAAGATGTTCGTGCTGCTGTTGCTCTTTTTTGAGTTTGTGAGTAAATTATGACAGAACGCACATATTCAGACTTTTAAACTACATTCTCTCTCCTGCCTTTGTTTGCAAATACGTTGCTCCACCCAAATTTTTTTTAGTAAAATAAAATAAAACAAATAAAAAGTTTAGTGGTTTATATGTTGTTATTTTCTCCAGAAACTTGCACAAAATTGAATGGAAGCTTTTTTCCATCATGGGATAAAAAAAATAAAAAAAAATAAAAAAATAAAGAAGGTAATTTTGACTGTATCTCAAAATTCGCAATTATGACTTTAGAGAAAAAGAGTCAGATATGTTTATATCTCTCAATTTTGTTTTTTTATTTTATTATTATTATTATTATTATTATATTTTTTTTGCCTTGGAATTAAAAATAAAAAAAGGTAATTACAACTTTTCAGCTCACAATAAAAAGTCAGAATTGCGAGAGATAATCTCTTTTATTCTGTGAATTCTCAGTTTACATATCAATTCAGTTTTTTGTTTCCGACACAGAATAAAAAACAACAAAGGTAACTACAACTTTTTATCTCACAATTTGGATTTTTGAATTTTATTTTCTGAATTCGGAGGGAAAAAGTCATAATTGTGAGATAAACAAACAAAAAACAGAACTGCAAAATATAAACTTTTTTTCTGTGAATTTTGAGTTATATATAGATACCTCCATTGTTTCTTTTTTTGTTGTT